TGATTATTTGCATTTATACGTTAATCGGTACAAACCAAAAATCCTTAACTTACAAAAATTCCAGGACATTCGCCTAAGAAACTCTTCTCATGTCATCTGTGTGGTAAGCTTCTATGTTCGAAAGCCTCGCTCAAGCGTCATATCGCCGACAAGCACGCCGTGCGCCAAGAGGAGTACCGCTGCATCATCTGCGAGCGCGTGTATTGCTCGCGCAACTCCCTGATGACACACATTTACACATACCACAAATCGCGCCCCGGCGAAATGGAAATGAAGGACATCAAGCTCTATCATCCGTTCAACTCGTCGATCTGAAACGCGATGCGCAATTTGTATAATTGCAATTTGCCATCCGTAACAATCGCCCCAATGCCAATAGCGCTCAAACCAAAACCAACACAAACACCAACAACAACCACACTAGCAAAGCCAATGGATGAAAGCACAAAAAGCTCGCATGCTCAAGCCGCACGAGAGACGAGCCCGTTTGCCAGCAAACAGATGAACACAACGCCTCAGTTGCCCAGTGTACAATGTGATGAGAAGCAGCAGCAACAACAGCAATACCAACATCACTTACAACAATCACAACAACAGCAGCAGCAGCACCAACAACAACAACAACACTACCTCTATACTGAGTACCACCAATGGCGGCAAGGTGACTCAGTACAACAAATGCAACAACCACATTCTCGCCAAGACGACGCATTCCATTTGCAGAATCTCATCAAACAACGACAAATAATGACCTTGTACGACTACTACATGTACCAACGCCACCCGTCGCCACCGATGCCGACGCAGGCCAAAGCTTTAGGTTCGGGTCTCGACTTGCGTACCGAGTACGGACGAGTGGCTCGACTATAGCGACAAAAAACGTAGATCTAGAAAATTACAAAAACACAATATTACAATAACATTAAAGCAATGCCATAACGTAGTGATAACTGTAAACCTTAGAAGTTAGCGACATACACACACTGACAACTGCAGAAAAGTATACACATACATATGTACATACCCCCTGTATGTACATATTTAGATTAGCGAAGAATTCACAATTTAAGCATTAGCAATTATATATACATACACACACATATGGATATACATATACGGAAGTTAGCATAATTTTTCATATAAGATTCTCAAATCAGCTCTCTAGCAACTTAAAACGATTACTGCTCAACTATTTACAATATCTAGATACATGCAGACATACGTGTATATGTTGGAAGCACAAATCATTTTTAGGTTAGGTGTACAATATTAGGTGCATACTTCTAGGAGCTCAAGCATATACAAGCGCATATACACATAGGTTTAATTGCAACATGCATACAAACAAATATATATATAAATAGCTGCAAACCTTTATATTTACGCAGCATATAATTAGAAACCGCATACGTACTCGTTCTGCATCGCACGACTTTTTCGTGCTGGACTTTTATTCTAAATGACCACCGTATCTCACAACTACCTACTGTGGCCTTCTATTGTGTCTACCACACGCACACGCGCGCATTCGGAGCGTGTATGTGTGCGTGCATATAAACTCCTTAACGTAGTCAATTCGAACTAGAAACCTTTTTACGGCATTTACAGTAATGCCCTTTACACATTTTTACAACTTATGTATCTCAACGGAACTATACCGGTGACAACGGACCTGTTGAACTCACTAGCCTTAGCTTACTGCAAACTGAACTAATAACATAAAAAACTAGTATTTAATTATAAAAAATGCAAAATGGATCGGCGCCACACTGAAGCCTACACGCAGCGATACAAAAGACCCGAGCTACGAACTTCGTTGGGCGCGGAGACCTGTCGGCTCAGAGTAGAATGTGTGTGCATCAGCGGAGCAAGAGCGCGAGCAATCTCTGGTGTGCTCAGCAAAAAGTATTTATCAAAAACCTTAACGGCGTACAAAGAAATAACAAAATTGATTCCCTGACCCAACCCCTTCAAAACAGACATCCAAACCGTGAAACCGTGAAACCGTGAGCCCTTTTTGCCCTGGAGCGATGAGCCCAAAGTACTCAAGCTATTATCGGCTCATGACAACACTACAAATAAGCAGCCTAACGAGGTTTTGGGTCAACCATGCCAAATTGTGATTGATTGAAGATACCAACGTCAAGGTTAGCAAATAAAAAGTCATCAACAACAAACTCGTAGCGAAAATAAACTGGAACTATTACAAGTAGTTAGTTCACGTTCACGGACTATATCCACTCAAATAATTATGAATATAGCTATATCTTCTTCTGTTAAACCGTTGACTTTCACTCTACCTATTGGCCCTCACTATCCCTTTTGGGTCTAACAATCTCCTCTCTTTCTCTCTCTCTCTCTCTCACATATACACTATCAAACTCACTCCACGACACTAGAAAGTGCAACTCTCCGTAATTGTAATGAATCTTCTCACACAATCACTCACTCTTTCTCTCTCTATATATACATCTCTCTCAATTAATTGGACCCTATGTCCGGGTATCAGTGTTAAAGGTCTCGTTCTCATTCACAACGTTATATTACATACATAGATAATATTTCACTGTTGTATTGTTGATATCTCGTATTGATTCTACCATACCGTTGGGCTAATTATCTAAATGCTATCCAAAAGACACTCCACTATCCATTCTGTCAGCTTGTAGTTAAATAATACATATGTACATACTTATGCACAATGGATACGAAAGTACAATCATCTGGTGAAGAAAGCACGAATGCATACATACATATATATGTACATACATGCAAATATACATATGTACATGTGTACATATATTGATTGCCGCCTGAAAACTTTCTTTAGTGTCCATTCTTACATTTGTCCACACATATATACGAGTACTTTCACAAGTAGAATAGTGAGCTGCTATGGAGCTCTAGTAAAACAGCTTCTGGGTCCACTTCTGCTCTGCACTTTTCAACCTCACGCCTCTGCTGAGATTAACCGCTAAGTTCCTTGGTAATGCTTATTTCTTTGATTTATCACTAGTTCGACTAACTCTTTCTCGCTTTTTTACTAAAACAGTTATTTACTTTTAATTTTTTATTTATTTTTAAGATTTATCTCTCTTATACTGAGTAAGCTTCTTCATACATACATATTTATGTACATAATGACGTGCATAAGATTTAAAAGATTGGAGATTTTAAGAGGACAATTTTAAATTCGCCGAAAAATTGTTTTTTTTTAGTTTCTGAACTTAAAACTTATTTCGCTTATCGCTGTACAAATAATCATATACTGTACGGTTCTACTGCTGAGAAATTTTGATTGTTGTTCTTATTTTCTCTCCACTCCGCTCCGCTACATAAACCTATTCAACAGGGGTCTCTTCTGTAAGTCATCTCTTCGTATTATTTCATCTTAAATGCCGTATTGACGCTATGAACTCTCCTGAACTTTTGGCGGAGTCTCGTACTGATGCCGAGAGAAGTTAGTAGCTAAAATCAGTCTATATATAAGTATCTCTCTCTGTATTCTTTCCTATTGTCTCCGTCACACGCCCTCGTTGTTTGGAACTCCACTGCGTTCTTCTTCTAATTAAAAATACTCTTAAATCTCTTCCCTAGTAAATATTTATAAACTCAACATGAACATACTTAATTTAGAATGTATCTAGTACATCTCCTTTGAGTTTGGTAAGTTTTTGCTATATTTTACAGACCGTCATCTACGTATGTCCTTGCATAAGTAATTTAAGTAATGAAAACGCCTATTATCTTTGCTTAAGATTACTTAATTCATCAGCTAATCATTACTCATCAGCTTAGAAGTCATCAGCTGAGCACACACACGACATTGGTCGGCGTCATTACTGTATTTTTATGTCATCGTCAACAACCGAAATCATCAACTTCATCTTCGTCATCATCATCATACACATACATACATACGTATGCCAGATTCTCACTTCCTCTCACTCGTTCATATATAAATTAACGCACAAAACACACACACATGCGCACACACTCGAAATTCATGCGCCGATCAAACAACTGCGCTTGCTTTGCCTTTTTGCTTGCGCTTTTATTTTTACTGTTATGCCGCTTGCTTGACTCCCTCTGACTTGCTCGTAGCTTGTAATCTAACGCTTATCGATACATACGCATGTACATATGTACAAATATTCATATACACATTTAGATAGTAGTAAAATTGTTGCATGCCGTATTTGTTATTTTGAGCATTTCATTTGTGATTTTGTCTTAATTTATTATGTAAATATATTTCGAACTCTTTCTATTATATTTATTTACCATTAAAAGTGATTTTTCTGTTGGAAAATATATATTACGCTAAGTAACTCAAGTAAGCGCGTAGAATTGCCTATCCGAAAACTAAGCTAAATAGAAGAACAAAACAGAGAAAAACAAAGCGATGATGCGATGCGATGCTCTCGCCAGCAGTTCTACGCCTTCTTGGGTGTTAGTCGAGTTACTTCATTCTTATAAATTTCAACTACGCAAACTTTTTTCAACTTTCGCTTTAAAAAAGGAGTTCTGCTGGAGTACTTATTTAGAATATTTTATAGAAAAAAAAGATTAATTTTCTTTGAAATCGCGCTTTTAGAGCGATCACTACAGATCATACAAACTGCTTTTCCAATTCTAAATTATTTGTATATTTAACCTAGAGGAGGTTTCGAATACTTCCACATTTACTCTTACACAATTCAACTAGTTTAAGCCTCTCTCCAGCTACCTCTCCTCTCGCTTTAAATTTAAAAAAATAATAACTTAAATATAATACGAACTCTATCTCAAACATTTCGCTAGTAAACAATTGTATACTTGTATATTAATAAATATTATTTCTCATTTCTACGCGTTCTATCTCACTCTTTACACGCGCACACACACACTCTTTTGATTTCCTTTTACTTCTCGAAGAGACCATGCTACGCCGGATTCTGTTTCATCGATTACTAATCTCAATTTTCTTTACCCTTTGCTTGTCCTCTTTCCCCCTTTAGGTGCACACACAGCCATCCGCTCAGCAGCCACGTCCCCCACCAGTACGGCCTCATCGCCACCGTCACCGCCTACAGCGCTTACCTCGCCGTCGCCCTCTTCACTGAGCTCACTAGCATGCAACGGCGGCGTTGGTATCGGCAGCGGCGTCGGCGGAAACCTCTTCAACATGCACAGCTCATCGCCGCCACGTCCCGGTAGCGGCGGCAACATCACGCCCAACGGCACAGCCAGCGGCAGCACTCTGCCTGCAACGCCCACTTTGACTAGCACACCACCACAAATGCCACTGCGCATGCCGCCACCCACCAGCGGCGGCATCAACGAGCCGCAGGAGTGTCCCTACTGCCGGCGCACCTTTTCGTGCTACTACTCGCTGAAGCGGCACTTCCAGGACAAGCACGAACAGTCCGACACACTGTATGTCTGTGAGTTTTGCCACAGACGCTATCGCACCAAGAACTCGCTCACCACACACAAGAGCCTGCAACATCGCGGCTCAAGCGGCATGCTAAAGCGCCTACTGAAGACGTCCGCCATCAAGAATGTGCTCGTGCCACCACACCATCATCATCACCACCATCTGACGCATCCGCGCACCAGTCTCTTTGACTTCACCAGCGAGCTGGGACAGCCACCGCCGGGCATTCAATAGGATTTCAGATGGAATGCGATTTTCTAGAGGACCCACTAAATTAACCCGCGTGGGCGCGCAGTCGGCTATCGGATTTATGTAAACTCATACATACATACATATTTACAATTCTACTTTTGCAGAGGCGAGCATACTAATTTACTTATTTTGATTATTGTACTTGTAATTGAGTAATGCTTGGACATTGCTGCATGTAATTTGGAATCAGTTTGGTCCATTTTATTTCACAAACTGCCCACACACATATACACATACAAACATGCGAATGCATGTGGAACGCGGCTAAGAGCGCGGTCACAGCGCCGCGCAAGTGCAATACATAACGGAAGCGAAGATAGGGCGGCAAATCGCTGTAAACTGGCTTCAAATGCAATAAGAAAACAACACACACACAGCAAGATATTTGTACAGAAGTGCAACAATGGAGGAGGAGTTGCATAAGTATAAGCGAACGGATCATTGTAAATAAACACACACACACATATATATGCAGTTTTAAGCAAATATTTAGTGGTATTGAGAACGTCTAATTTCTATTAATGTAGCTACATGTAATCCTAGTTTACTTATAATTACCGTTAGATTAATTATTATGAATTATTTACTTACTGCAAAGCTAAGATGCATTGAAACCATACTTGTACGATAGTTCTTGGCCAAATTGGAAAGAGAATGAAGGACTTAAATAGTGAGTACGGCCACCACATAGCTGGCACGAGGCGAATACAGCGGCGGGGGGTTGGCAATTGCTTTCCCCTTATCATACTTGTACATATCATGGCGTATACGTAAAGTTAGCAACTTACCTTTCGGATCTTATCTAGCAAAATTGAAACTGATTAGCAGAAATCAAGCGAAAAAAGCAAAATAAATCAACGCACAATTCCCAACGCCCCTGCTGGTGCACGTCTCTGCCTTCATATGGAGAGGGCCGTGGAGCAAATAGTTTATTGTGCAACATAGAGTTTAGTGATCGGTTTCTTGTGTTTCGCTATTTACATTTACTAATTTTGAATTCGTTTCGAAGGCGCGACAAAATCTCTGAAAATCAAATGTATTCCAATTGAACAAAAACAAAATCTAAAATCAATTAATTAAACTGAGTAATTGTTAGAAAGTCTGGTGAAGTGTTAAGATGTGTTTAGCAAAAAGAATAAGAGAAAACCATTTGGAAATAGATACGCAGATCAGCACAAGAAACTGGCAGCGATTGGTGATTTTAATTAGGCGTAATTTGGTGCCAACACGGTTTCAGCCGTTTGCATTTTTTAATTAATTATGATAATAAAGTAAATATAGGGCGAAGAGGCGGAGGACCAATTTGTACTAAAATCGCATAGTTTATTGCGTTCATTGCAAATCTGGATACTTACATATGTAGTATATTGTATGTACATACAAAAATTTATACATAATTACATACATACATACATAATTAAATGCATTAATTAAACTTAATTATATATAAATGTAAAATGAACTTTATCAGGGATTAATATCAGTAGAATGTTCTTTTTTCTATCCAATTAAATATATTAAATCAATGAAGAAGCAAAAACAAAAACATAAAACAACAATATAAAGAAAAGAAAAACAAACGTAGCATTACATTTAAGCATACAAATTTAAACCCTAAAATGGAATCTAAGAAATTTATTGCAACTTACAAACATATGTATATGTATACAATACACACGCAAACACGCATACAAATCTAACTGTAAGTGACCAATTATACACACACACACACATATATATATATATGAAAGACGCAGGCATATATTTAGGCAAAATGCACAACAACAAACTCAGTGATTTTCACCAGTGAAGTACAAATTACTTGAAATTTATACAAACAAAGGAAAATGAAATGCAAATAAAAAGTAAGAAATATTAAAATATATAAAAAAGTAAATAAAATAGATTTGCACAACTGTTTTGGAAGCTTAGATTTGTAATTGCATAAAATATGTACAAACACACATTTACAAAGTAGAAGAAAAACACACTTGCAACCCTAAGCAGTTTGAAAAACGTCAAGAAATTCAGTACGAAAAACCTCAAAAACCTCAAGGTTTTCATTTTCACCAATGGAAATCGCACAATTTTCACAGCGAAAGTGTGGCAATTGTAGAAAAAAAGTTTTAAAAGTAAAAAAACAAAAAAAAAAAAACGTATTTTTCTAAATGTACATTAAAAGGGTTATCGCTCAAAGTAGAACACAATTTTATTAACTATGTAAGCGTGTAAATATCAAAGCAAACTTAAAACAAGTAATTATATGCCAAGGAAACTATAAGTTGAAACATATTTAAAGTTCACGAATTAAATTTAGAAGAGAACAACAAAACAGGAACATGTAATTTTAGCATTTAAAAAACAAAAATAACACTTCGCCAGTATCAAGCGCGCCGACTTGGCAGCGCCACTGTCGAATTGCTATTTTGCGCATATCCGTAAATTGACTCAGGAAATATTACTTATAAATTATAAATTATAAACTAACAAATAAATATGTATTTCTAAACAGACAGAACAAAAACAAGGCATAAATGTAACAGAAGCAGGCTTTTAAGCGCAAACAGACAGCTTAAGACGCTAGCAACAAGAGCGCTTGTAGCACAAGAGCAGATTCACGGCGAAAGTCACACCACAAGCAGCCAATGTTGCGCACCCAACTAATCAAACCGTGCCCGGCAAAAGTCAAAATATGTAGATTAATAAACAAGCGCGCATTGTACAGTTAGTGGCGGACTTTCGTGCAAATTGCACGGTTCGGTGACTTAACACAGATCCTGTAGGGTTTCCTTTGGCCAGCGCATAAGTGCCAACTAGCGCCAAGTGCGCCGGCACAGTTGCCGCTGAGTTTCAATACTTCGCAAAGCAAGCCAAGAGCGTTTCCATCACGTGACTCAGCTAACAGCTATCGACTCAGGGCTAATGAATGTTTCAAAGTTTAAGCGCGTATGTAGACATGTAGTTGCATAGGCGCCATGTAGGTTACGTGTATGTGTCTAGCTGTAGACGACAGAGTTTCCTTAAATTGTAGTTGTATAATTTATTTTTAATGATTTTTAACTAATTTTAATTTTGTTTTGTTTTTGTCTATTGTACTCTTTAATACTTAATGAATTCGTATTTTTCGTAAGTGTAGTTTAAAACAAAAATATGAAAAAATACAAAAAAAAAAAATAATAAAAAAATAACGCCGTGTGTTGGTATTCATGCGCGATAATTTATTAATTTTTTTTTTTTATCAAAATTTTAAACATTTAAAATTAAAAAACATACAACAAACTGTGATCTATTTTCTCTCAAATTTACATACAAAATTCTTGTTTGGCTGTTAACTATTTTTACACAAAATAAGAGTATTCAAATAATACTATGAGTTAAGCAAATACTTTTTTGTACAAAATTTATGTTTAGGCCTCACGTGCAAATTTATATGATTTTATTTATGTATATTTTTTAATTTTTGGTGCGACTCAAATCATCTAAATTTATACACACCCACACACATACAAAGAATACAAACACAATTACAAATTATAATTAGTTTGTACATAAGTTAAAAGAGTGTATTGTATTTATTTTATTGCTTTAATATATATACATATTATAACCATTACAGTTAATTTTAGTTTTTCTCAAAATTAAAAATGCGTTCTTTCACGAACGCCGCTAAAATTTTAAATTCTTAAACCATTTTTGAATTTGTTGATAAAGTGAAAATATAACAAAATTAAAAAAAAAAATTCATTGGCTTTTATTTTTTACACTAATTGGCTGCTCGAAAAGAATAAATTAACAATCGCTGAAAATCTTTGTTCGAACTTGCGGCAGATAACATATTCTAGAGCTAGAATGGTTTATTGCTGACCCTTGCCTTGACCTTTTGTTTTGAGCGGTTATTATACATGTTTTAATTTAACTTTGGTACAGTTGTGCACATGGAGAAGAGATTATTTACTTAGTTATGGCCAACAATATTTTGTGAATACCGGTATATAATAGCAACTCACTTTTTTTGGGAACAAAAAGAATGTTTCGAAATAGTAATTCTATCAATGCTGGCCTGCCACTCTGTACAGTGCTGCGCTAAATAACAGCCTAAACTGATTTCCGTAGTTGTTTTAATATGCCGAAATACCTCGTTTTTAAGCTCGTCGGGTCACACAAAAACCACTCAGGGGCGAAAAACTCTCAGGGAGACTTCCACAAAAGCGGCGCATATCACAAACACATCCATCATGATTCAAAACCATTGTATAAAAAACGTATACTAAGAAAAAGTGTTTTAATAAAAGAGTTGACTCGTTAGATAATTGGAAATTTTATTGTACTTTAGTCAAAATTATTGAAAGAAATTTAACTTTAATCTTAATTGAGACCCAATAAGAATATGTTCAAAATTTTGCTCTTCTACACCTAACGAATATTTCGAAATTAAGTATATACACGTCGTATAAATTGAAAGACAAATTTTGAGAACAAAAACAAAATCTGTGATTTGACAAAAAATTTATTAAAAATAATCATAATACAAAATTTTTAATTTTAAATATAAATGAGTTTAACTAAATGCGAAATTCAAAAAATTCAAATGTACTCTTTTTCGATTTTCTGTATTGACATTAAAATTATATTGTAAGGAAAATAAAATAAGTGTAAATGTTACGATTTACTGTGTCTCCAATCAGTATCTTTTGGCTATAAATAAGGAAAAGCCTGCTTAAACATTAATTAACGAGACTTAAATACCTTATTTACCCACTTACATACGGAAGGGCATAAACAACTTCCCCAATTTTCTTTTATTCCATACATATATACATACCTTAAATTTTGATGAGAAAGTCATAAACGTAAACAATGCAAAACTCGAATAGTTTTCACATTTACTCATCGGCGTCCACACACAGCTTAGGGTACAACCTGTTCAATATTTAAAAATATAAATCTTATATATAAAATGAAGCCATGAAAATTATACAGTGTGGAGAGGCACACAGATACGGGTATATATGTACATATGTACGCACGAGTGCAATTTTGCATTTGTATCTGCTAGAATGCAAATGGAGAAAAAACAAAAGGCGATCTTAATATTGAATTGTGTGAGTTTTTAAGATATCAAATCAGCCAAATGTACTCAAAAAGAAATAAAATAAAATAAAAATCTATATTATATTGTTTGCAATTTGGTTTTATTTCGATTCAGTAATATGTACATACGTATGTATGTATATGTATATAGCCCTGAGAAACGTCGCATGAGCGGCAACTATACATACCGGAACTTCATTACTTTAATGAGAATGGAAAGTAATACATACATATGTGTACATACATACATTAAGAAATGAGCAACCACATGTACACAAGATTTTCGGTTAGTTTTGTCAGTTCAGCTAGAAGAAACTCATGGAATCTTTAAGAGGTGACTTTTCTGGTCTGGTAACTAACTTGTAATTTAACCAGTAGTTGACTTGGTGGGCAAGTAAATTGTTTCAGCAATCTTATGTCAGATTGATAGAGATAAGACATGCCCAACTCATCTCTCATTGGAAGGGAGAGAGCAATCGCTAAACGTCGAAACCTCCTGAACTCTGTCAACTGTCAACTAGCGGTTGGAAACGAGAGATGACCAGATTGAAATCCTACCATAAAAATATGTAAACGGATGGATTTGTTGCCCCGTTCAAGACCAGTAAGGAAGAGCTAAGTTCGGGTACAAGCGAACATTTTCTACTCTTGCAACTTGCATCAAACGAACCCACGAAAATACCTTATGGTGTAAAACGTCAACCAGAAAATCGGAATACAAGAAATTTATATATAAATATACTATATGCACATATGTATAAATATATATATTTTTATTTTATTTATAAAAGCTTATACAATGTTAATAACATATGTACAACCTAAAACATGCAGCGCTAGCTTCAGAGACTATCAGCTGAGCACATATAAAACTCAAACACTGGCAACTGACCGAAGTATTCAACATTAGGTTTATCAGAAAACTAAATTCATTATATGTAGGATATGGGATTTTCGATTTCATTTATTAACTATTATCATTCCACATACTAAAAAGTATTCCCTGGGTTCTATTAAGGTCATCACCAATCATATTGAGTTAAGTCAGCCGGATATTAGTTATACGGTGGCTAGGTCAAGTTTTCGCCTAATTTTATCTATTTTAGACACAAAGATACAGCGTTATGAGCAAAACACGATAAGTAGTGCATAGATGTAACTCAAATATTGGCCGATATATGCAGTATAAAGTCACTGCTATCAATTTTCAATGGAAAGTAATTAAAATCATTTATATCAGTTGTTGTTCTTGCTAAATTAAAAAAAAAAATTTTGATATTTCCGACAACAGTAGAGACGAGTAGTGATGGCACTAAAATGTGATGTGTAAAATTATTCAAAGCTCTAAAAAACCTGACTTTATTTCACACAGAGAAGCATAAAATAGCTCTGTTATATTATTTGTAATACCAATACCCGACGCCTTTTGTAGTTCACTGTCGTGCAGTTGTGCCGTGTCGCTCTCTATGTGTTCACTACTTAATGGTAAAAGTACCAACACTGCTTGTAGTTTGACAGTTAGGTTTTGACAGAAGAATCAACAACAGTTCATTGCAAAGCAAAGCTAAGAACAAGGAAAATATCGAGTAAACAGAAATTTCCGCTGAATTTGCAAAATTGTACACTCCAAGAACTATAACAATAATTGCTTGGTTTTAAATTTCGCTTGTGCACTCAAGATTCAAACAGAAAAAATCGCTCTACTTGATGTGTTTCATCGAGTACTTTGTTTTATTGTGAAATCTCCGATGTGAACGAAACGAATTGACGCGTATAATCGACGCATTTCAAAAAAAACAAAAAAAATTAAAAATTGCGCGGATCACATTGTATGTATGGACTATGACAGTTTGACAGTTCATACTCAGTAATTTTGCTTACATTTCATAACACGTAATTGGAAGCTGTTTTATTTATTAAATTGCAACTTAAAATTCATAATTTATCATTTATTCAATTAAATATATTTCAAAGAATGTGTGTGTGTTAAATTGGTTAAATTTTTTGCAAGCAGTGCAACAAAAACTTCAAAAGAAGAGAGCCATTGTTTGAGCAAATGTGAAAATGTGCGTTTTTTGCTTACTTATATCTAAAAAACAAATTAACATTTAACAATAAATTTACATTTAAACCAAAGTTTAATTCATTGGCTATCCGTGCTATATAAATTTAAAAAAATCCGTGCACGCATTTAAGAGGAATAAGCAGTGAAAAGGGGATACTAAAACGAACCCAACCCGGACTATGTAACAATGTCCTAAGTTCTTCAATAAGACATTTTGTACAAGGGTGTCATGCTGTTGATCAGAAACGAAAAAGTTACTTTGCGGGTCGCCATTTGCAATGTTTGGATGCTATAATCGCAGCTCGGATGGTTTTCTCTTCGTAGTTACCTGCGGTGTTAATTTCGTGTGGTTAAATATATAACTCAGTTCACAGATCCGTTCAAAGGTGTTAAATATTTTGTTTGTGAATTAACTCTTCTTTATATTAATAATATATCTATCAAATATTTTTAGTTATTCTGCTTCATGTTAAATGGCTTCGACTACAGCACATATTCCCTTAACAAATAAAAACTTATAAAACCGACGACATATTGCACAAAAGGAAAAAAACAACAATGTCAAATGATTCGTTAGTGCTTCAAAATGTGTGAAGATATCTCCACGACACAAATATACCTGCCACCGCTCTCCGTACACAAATTCTGGTTTCATTGGTAATTTAGTTACCTTTTGCGGATTCTTAGATCAACGACTGTTCCACTGGAATAATGCGTATAAATTTTGAAAAACTATTTTCTTGCAATAAACGATGAAAATTACCGTGCGAAATACGAATCGTGCCATAGTGTCCTTTTCCTCTTGTATTTCGAATAAGTAAAGCTGCTACGATTTTTCAGGAATCAATGGGAATTTATGAGACCTTAAAACACAGCCTTGGCAAAAATTGCAATAGGTAAGTTATTTTATATCGTAATTAAAGCAGATTTTTCATTGGGTTTCATTTCTTACAGAAATATATCAATTTCAAATATATAAATAATGTATTTAGAGGCGTCCACGAAATAAAATTGTAAGCCGAAAATGCTAATTTGCGAACTATTTTCAACGAATAGCCAGTATAATGGCAAAAGAAAACAAATGTAGTACCAAAAGTAAGCTTGCGAAACTATATATAGTATGTAAGTATTAATAGAGTAAACGCCAGTCGTCATAATACATTAAGTTTTACAATACATTTAAATATTTAGAATTTACATTTATATAAGTAGCATTATTATATTTCGTACAGTTTGGTAGTTGAATTGAAAAAACATTTATTTTGTATAAATGTTAAATACTTATCACTACTTACAGCTAAATCAGTAACCATTCGACAAGGCATATAATACAAAGTATTTATTAATTGATAAACAATATTACAATAACGTAACACTACTTCGAACATTGCTGGAATATTGAAATGTAAACCGCATCGAGTTTGCATCACTTATGGTATGTTAGCAACAGCTACATATGTATGTCACTTATATGCATATACATATACATATGTATGTATGTATATTTATTGCAGCACTAAAAGTGAGAAGAACAAAAGACAATTATTTGTTAATTTGCATATTTCGAGATATGCATTGGAAAGTAAATCGTAAATTTTTGTTAATAAAGTGAAAATGTAAACATATGTGCTATTTGACACTATTCGCTTGAATTTAGAAGAGAAACTTGATAAAATCAATTTCTGAGCTATATAAATTACTTTTAATCAGGTTTATTACATTGAATATTATGGCAGTTTGCTACTAATTGAAAATTTATTCTTATGATCGATCCAGCCTAAGTCGGAGCTACTGATTACTATCAAGGCAATAGTTTTTATTGTAGGTGCGTACGTCATCATGCGATATCCTTGATGCGCTCTTGCATTTTTTTTTTTTTTTGTATACGTGTTGGCATTGGTGATGACAATCATGATTATGTTGATAATATGCAAATGCATAAGATAACCCATCGCACACAACAGACAACATCATCTATCTCTGTTAAGTTTGCCAGTTTAACAGCTATGTATGTAAGTTAATGGTTGCCACCAAATAATTAATTAATCGCTCTTTTGAATTGTAAAGTTGAACTCCAGTTTCTTTATTAAATACATTTCTTTTATACAAAATTTTGCTTATTTACTATAACATACATATGTCCGAATTCTTACTTACTAGTACTTATTTCTATATACTCTATAATGATAACGTAAGCAATAATTATAGAAAAATTGCAAACCTCATTTTGGTCGGCACGGCTTCCGCTCTGGTTTAGTGCCGACGAAATGTGCTGTTGTTGTAAATTTTGGAAATCAATTTTATTGAGCAACAATAATATTGCTTATTTTCAGAATATTGCTGAATTGAATTTCTGTTTATAGTTGCAACATTCTTGTCAGCAGTGCCCTGGGCGAGATTTCTACGGCGCCCTCCAACTGCAATTCAAACCCATTCGAGAAAAGGGAAAACATTTAACGAAATAAGCGTTTATTAAAATTTTTAATTCTTTATTATAAAAAATAACTATTTATTACAAAAACACTAATAAAATTTTACTTTTCTGTCCTTTCTATCAGCGAACTCTTTTATAAGGTTGTCAAAGTCGATGTTTTCAGCAATTTCGTTTGCAATTGACAAAGTTGCTAAGTTTGTCAAACTAGATTGAGAAATTGTTGAACGAAAATATGTTTTTATCAGCTTCAGCTTTGAAAAGCTCCGCTCCCCACTAGCGACCATTATAGGTATAGTTAATAATATTCGCAATGCTATCCATACATTTGGATACAGTTCTTGTAAGTTGCAATCTTTGATGAAATTTAAAACAAAAATGGGAGTAACCACATTTTGATCAGACAAAAAGGATATCAGACTTACAAGTTCCTCACACAACATAAAACCATCTATGTCTGATTTAGAGTCTACAGTTAATTTTAATTGGAGATCACTACAGAGCTTGACAAGGTCGATTTTTTCTGGAATCTGTTTAATATTGTACAGAAAATACCAAGATTCCGAGTACTCATTTAACTGCTTGAACCTTTCATTGACTGAAATTAATGTAGTGTCCAAAAGATAGTTGAAAAAATCAACCTAAAATTTTTTTCTGAAGAATTTATAGGGTCATCGCGTGCAATTTCACTAGCTTGACGCTTAACACGTAGAATTCTTGTTGTAGCTCGAAATACAGGTTCAATTTCAAGTTCTTCGGCCAACTCCTTCCCTGTTAAAATAGCGCTTTTAAAGCCTGTATTTCAGTAGTCTTCCAAGAAWTTGCAGCATTTTTTCAACATTTCTGTACTCGATAGTAGAAACGGATAGTGACGAACATAGCATCGCAATGGAACACCGTCTGGTTACTACTTCGCGTCTGTTTGTTTTAAAATAATTGTTTTGTATATGCAAAAATAATTTTGTTACGCTTCGCTAAAATAACGCTAGCTCTTTTTAACCAAAAAGTTAAAAGGAGATAGACAATGTGTTTTTCTTTGATTGGGGATTCCCCGTAAAATTAACTCCGATTGAACAGATTGAATAGTGCGTTCCAATCAAGTTTTGCTAACATAAAAAATCCGCTTAATTTAGGGAATTTACGACTAAGCAGACCTTGAACTATGAGCATGAGCTGGGGGCGCATGCGGCGCCCCTTTTGACCGGCGCCCTGGCGCCTAAACGGCTAGTGCCGCTTCTCTTCAAAACACATATGTATGTAATACTGAACTGGAATTTCTTAACTCCACTAATGTGTATAAATTCAAGCTGTCTTAGCTTTATTTTATTTATTATGCTATTGAGCTAAGGGCAATTTTAACTTCCTTCTTTTTTAAGTATCCAACTCATTATTATTTTTGTTTATGCCTGTTCTTATGTAGCAGATCGTTGTCCTCTGTATATACCAGTATTTCCATTCTCCACTTCTTTAAAGCCTGTATAATCGCAAGTACCTCTAATTCGTATGAATTTTACTTTTCTTCTCCAGGTCGAGTTTTGAGACTCGTATAACTCACTGGGTGAATTTGTTGATCTTCTGGGTCTTTTCGGTGCAAAAAAGTCTATAATGTCAAATTTGTTTGTGTCTTATTTAAATTCTTTTAATTGGTATTATTGATGTCTTCGTTAATTGTTGGGTCGGTGGTGTTGATTCTAGCTTTCACAAAGAGGAGAGCGTTGGTATTTATTCTTTAAATTAAATTTCTTATATTTTACTGCGTAAACTAAAATGATTGAAAGTGAGCAACACCACTCCCGATGGTAACAGTTTCCCATCGATATATTTTTTAAATTTATGCAGTTCGACCACTCCTTGGGAGGATAATTCTTGAATGATTTCCTCCTCTGCAATATTGTTGAGAAAAGGAGCGTACACGGTGCCTTTCACTTAGTTGAGTGATGCGTGTAGCGTGGGACATACGCTTACCAATTGTTTCGCTCTTAGGAATTTTTCTGCAATTTTGTTATTTTTCACATGAAACAATAGTTTTCCACTAAGAAGAGGAGATACATATTTTATGTACTTCACTGCAAATTTGTTTGAGTAGGATGAAATAGGTCAGGATGGGTCAGTAGCTTCAATTACAATAAATTTTCGGTCGTCTGCTTTAGTTACGGGAAGAAAGGGGAAATCTTCTAGGTGAATAGTTATTGGAGGTTTGCGTTTTTTTTTTTTAAATGAAAACGACACGTCTGCTCTTTATTACATCCGACTTGCAACTGTAACTATCCGTTCTCGTTCAGTTTATTCAGGGTTGCATTCAACAGGTCTGTCCGGATCGTGTTGTCCGCAATTCTCCAACATTTATTTTCATAAAGAAGTTTGCTTATTTACTATAAGCTTACATATGTATGTAGGTTTATTGTTGTTTATATAATAAATGTGGGTTTATTAATAGGTGTGGAATAATTCAATATGACTTCGCGTATCTGCACGTCTTTCCACTTCGGCTATCGCGGTTTAACTCTCTCTCTCCTTGCCGTTTTCTCTAACTATTCTTCGTCTTTTTCTGGTGCCCATTCACCATAGGTTCCCACATTCTGCCGTTTTGACTAAGTATCCGTCCTGATGTGCCCACAAATTTATTAAGAGAAGAAGCCATACGAAAAAGAACTAATCTAACTACTTTACTTTCAGCTTAGTATTTACATGCTTATATGCAATGGCTGAAGCAACAGTCTACATGTTAATTTTCAATCAATTTGTACTTCATGTGCTTTATAGATATGAATAAATAAATTCATTTTAAATGAAATATACGTTACGATTATTTAAAATTATAACATTGAAAAAAATTCGTAAATGTTCTATGCACAGCTAACTAAACTCTGTCAGTAATGTATTCTATTGGTTATTAGACATAGATGTCAGTAGCAAACGGAGGCTCGTAAAATTCCCAGTGGGTAGCAGCTTCTCCTGATATATTGTTTTTCTTCTTACTTCGTTTATACGTTACCATAAAATTGAGAAATTTCCTGGTTATATCATCACGGTCCAAGAATATATAATATATATAATAATATTCTTTCACAGGCGCTGACTTTTTGCGTTTGGCAGCGAAGTCGCCCTCATAACGCAGTCGGGTGGTCAGAAGCAGCTTTTTGCATCAAGTTTCGTAGTGATGCACGATTTTGTGTATCACGGCGCATCGACACCGAGTTAATGCGTTCAAAATATGATGTAATGTAATAAATACTGCGGATGCTTTATCGAACTTCGAACTTTGTTCGTATGCAAAGCAGTTGACGTTTTCGAAGTCAGCCGCTCTGTCTTGCGCTTGCCTCTTTGGTGTTGAACGTTGTTTTGCTGTGACTGAGTGATTTGTACTTCTTACAGCTTCGTATGCCTCGTTGTCGGTTTCGTCATCCAAATCGTCGTTTGGAGCATCGTCGTCATTTACGTCGTATTTCAACAAATTGCCCTCTTGAAAGTTGTGAAAAATATTATCAGCCAATGCTCACCATTATGCCTCATGCAAATCCACACCAGATCTGCTTGAGTTAAAATGTTCTCAATATACTTAATTTTTTCGACATACTCCGCGCTCTGCTCGGCGAAATTAAAACCAATAAACTCGCGCAACCGCTTTCGATTATTTCGGTCACCGTCGTACCCGAACACAGATTTGCAAAGCTAATTGGTTTTTTACACAAACGCAGATTTCCACAAATTACATATTTTAAACAAGCCATTTTTCCACACAATAGCATTTTATCATTCGATGTTATTGCGTTTTCTAGTGTTGCTTGTTTCCATTCTTCCATAGTCTTTTGTGCATTGTTTTCTTCTCTTGGTTGTTCGTTCTCGCGACTTTGGCACACGAGTATTATTGGTGGATATGCTTCATAGCTTCTGCTGTATTGTTGTATGTTTGTATCTTTCTCCTTTTTTGCAGTTGGGGAAATTCCGTGTCAAGGACAGCGTTTCCTAGTATAATTTTAATTTTTTTTTGTGCCTCTTTGATAGTGAGGTTTTCTAGGGTGGTTATTCTTTTAATTGCGTAGGCCTTGATCCTTGCTGGTCAAACTTTGTTTGTAACAACACAAGCTAATAACAAGAGCCTATACGAAGCCTTAATATAACATAAAATAAAACAGTAAGCTTTATTTCAAACAGAGTACTTAATTTTATTGTTTGTTGTTATTAAACTAAGCTCAAGCCCTATAAGTGCCTAGTCATCAAAATAAGGTTTGCCCGTGTTTCGCTCAAATGCCTAATAATTGGGAGAGCGGATGCGCATGTAGCGCATTCCATTAAGTTAAGAGTGCAATAGGAGTCTCAATTGTAAGTTGACTCCTAATTAAGCAGACATTGTTGTCAGCGAATTTATATTGTGTTAACTTATATATCCAAAGTACTTTAAAGCTAATGACAGTCAGTTCAGATCTATGGAAAGTTAACGAAAGATAAAGTTTAAAAAAGCAGGAAAACAAACAATTAATAGAAATGATGATGCATAATAACGAAATTGATATCGCAATCCTCTCAGAAATTTGGCTAAATAACAATATTGAAGCAAGCCTTAAAGACTACAACTATGCCTTCGCAAATAGACAAGATGGGTATGGCGGAGTAGGAATTTATATAAAGAAAGCTA